TCTGCAGTTGCGGTTCGCACGCGAACCATACATTTCCCGCACCGGCTGACCTCGGTCGTCGCCGTTGAAGCTCTGGTTGACGGAAAGTTTCACAGCGCGACTGGAAAGCACAATCGAAGCCAGCGGAGAGCGTATGAAGAGCAGCTTCCCTTTTCATGCACGCCGGGGCCGAATTTGGCGGCGCCGAGCGCGTCGGTAGCGGCCGTTTCCGACGCGGTTTTTTTGTCTGGGGGCCCAGAGGGGACCTTCGTCGTGGACTAGAGACCGTCCACTAAAAATTTTCGCGCGCGCGCAGCGCCTTTTTTGGCGATCGAAAATCGGTTTTTGCCACAGTGCGCATGAAAAGGGGCGCAGAGCCAGATTGCCGGCTTGTCCGTGCCTCTGGCTGCGCTCGTGCGGTTTTGGCTAGTCGGCCACGTCGAATACGCGCCTAGGGTACGCCGGGGGAGTTTCCGCGGTCGCGGCGGCCCTATACCCGCGAGTTTACGCTCGCCAACGTGGCCTGCGAGAGGCGTGGCTGGCTGGATATGGGCTGCCTTGGGGCCGGCTCAAAATGGCACCCTGCGCCTTTTTGTGGGTGTTTCGCTGTTTGGTGTGCAAGGTGGGTGTGAGGTCCAGCCCCGGGCGGGTGCGCTGCCCGACTCTGCGCCAAGGGGGCGCTGATCAGCGTCGCAGACGACACTTACGTACAGGTCCGCGAGCTCAGTTCGGGGGCAGCCCGTCAAAACGACGGTTCTGGGCAGTTCAAGCGCCACGGCGGTCGGTCCCGGGCCCTGGCAGTCCCAGGGCGCCCGTGTGCTGCATTTTGGACGCTCTTCTTCGCTTTCCTACGGGTGCTCTGGGTTTTGTTGAACTTCAACCAGCGTCAGCTTAGCCTCTCGAGTTCTCGAAGCACAGCCGAAGAGCTCGCGTCGACACTGTCGCATATGCGCACATTGAAGTCGGGTTGAAGATTTGAATTCCACACAGCCTCGAACCAGGCGCCGTACGCGCGGTGCGCGCCGCCCATGACGATGGGGTGCTTGCGCGCGTCCACGGGGGTGGCCGGCAGCTGGCGCGGGCACAGGTGGTCCCTGCCGTAGCTCGCCGCGCTCGCGGGCGCCGGGGCCAGGTGGTTCGCCATGGGGCTCTGGTCGTAGATGCGCTGCACGACGCAGGTCCTCGCGCCGGCGCAGAAGGCGTCCTGCGCCGCGGCGTCCGCGTAGCCCGCGGCGGTCACGGAGACGTTGGCGGTCGCGCCGTCCGCCCGCATCAGCTCGTAGAGCGGGCCGCGGTACGACGCGTAGAGGGCGCGCACCGTCGAGTGGGCGGCCACGCAGGGCGTGCCGGCGCGGCCGTAGATGTCGCAGGGCCGCGACGCCGCGACGCCGCCCGCGTCGAGTGCGGCGAGAGCCGCGACGCTGCCCGCGTCGAGTGCGACGAGAGCCGCGACGGCCAGCAGATGTATTCTCATGCTGTCTTCCTCGGGCTGCCCTAGGTATTTGAGGTTCGTGTTGACGACGCTGTTGCAGCCGCGGCCGGTCACGTCGGTGGTGCGGCTAATGCTGAAGGTTAATTTCCTTGCTACCCCGAGAC